CTTAAGATACGACAATATGATTAGTTGTAAGATTGTTGCAAACAAATCTAACCCCGTGGAATAGAAATATCGTGACATAAAGAATCGAGCCTTTATAGAGTAGCAAGACTTTTCGACAATCCCGTGTCTCGCAATAGCCTAGCTGTTTCACAAGAAAAAACCTGATCGTGGAGATCGAAGAAGTTTGACAAAAATAAATTCAAATGAAAACATTCGATCTGATTGGACAGAACAGATGCCACGTGACATAAATGACACGTCAAGGCGAGAGAGCGGGAAAAATATGACAAGTATCAAATGAATCTCTTGATTTATCTGTCACGGTTTTATGTCAAGGTTTGAAAATTTGGGCTCTTTTTTTGTAAATGGGAGCGACAAAATTCGATCTAACTAAAACACAGGTACTAGATAAAAGAAAAAATAATTGATTTTGGTGAACATTAAAGTTTTTTATTTATTTATTTTCTTTTCTTATTTATGAATGGCCGTTTCAAGTTATTCTCTCAAAAGCTAGGCAGATAGCAAAAGTATGTTTATGTTCGGAGGCTTATGTCTAGGGGGTTTATGTCCAGGGGGTTTATGTTCAGAGGGTTTATGTCCAGGAGGTTTATGTCTAGGGGTTTGTGCCCAAGGGGTTTATGTCCAGGGGGTTTATGTCCAGGGGTTTATGTCGAGGGGGTTTATGTCGAGGGGGTTTTATGTCGAGGGGATTTATGTCCAGGGGGTTTATGACCAGGGTGCTTATGTCCAGTGGGTTTGTGTCCATGGGGTTTGAGCCCATGAGGTTTGTGTCAGAAGTGTTTATGACAAGGGGATTTATGTCCAGAGTGTTTATATCCATGGTGTTTATGTCCAGGGAGTTTGTGTCCAGGGGGTTATATCTAGGGTTTTTGTAACCAGAAATGTTTTCCAGGATTTTTAAAATTGACATCCCGCCCAGCTTGAGAGCAGATATGTCTGCATCTGGACTCGCTGTCTCAAGCTTAGGCAGGAAACCAGAGGCGTAGCGACCCTTCCCGGCGCCCGGGGACAAACTTTCGATTTGCACCCCCCTCACGCATTCTATTTGCTCCACCTCAAACTTTCGATTTACCCCCCCCCCCCCTTTCAATTTATTTTTCCAAACCATTTTGGCGCCCCTTAAGGTCGGCGCCCGGGGATATATGTCCCCCCCCCCTCGCTACGCCTCTGCAGGAAACTAATGTCTTTTCATACGCTCTGCCACCAGCTATTTATTAGTGTGATCCTGCAACATCCAACAGCGCCACTGTGGTCAGCATACCTGGTATTGTTGAGGTAGATTGAAAGGAATTGTGGGTTTATATATCTGTGACTACGTGTGTAAGAAGAAAAGCTTTGTATCTATTCTATGTCTGCGTGTACGTGTGTAAGAAAAAAAAAAGCTTTGCATCTACTCTATGACTCTATGTCTGTAACTACGTGTGTGAGACAAACAAAAAAACAACAACTTTGCATCTATATGTAGGGGAAGATTGGGGAAGAGGTGTGAAATAATTCCAAACTGTAAGTGATGATGAAAAATAAAATATTAAACGAAAGATTTTTCTCAACGATAAAAAAAAAATCCCTCAAACTCTCAGACGCACCACGACGCTGTATGTGATAGCGACCGGATGTCTTCCGGGATAAACATTCCGGCACGAACAAAAGCCGGTCGCTTTCATAAGACCGGTGGTTCCAGCCGGCAAGCAGAATCGCCGTGATATGACGGTATGACGGACGTCTAAACTGTAACCATCATTTCATCCCAGGCCTTATCGGGGGGCCAACGTTGACGTTTTTTATAATTAATCTGGTGGGTGATTGTCAGCACTGATCCCTGGTCTGTCGTTCTCCTTCCCCCCCCCCTCTCCCCCGATACTATCAGCACACCATTCCTCGTGTCGTCTGCTGAAAATTGGCCCCTCAGTTATCGTCGCCCTACAGGACAGAAATCTCGACCGCCCTACCCCGGGCCACGGATCTTCCCTGAACATAAATCTTTGAAAAACCGTTCATTTGTTGGTTTGGTTTTTTTTTTCATAATTTTTTTTTTTACATAATCTATCAAGAAATAGCAACGTGGTTGGTTAATATTGAAACAGTCAAAACGTCTACAGCCCTGGCCATAGGAAATTTTTTGTCTACTCTTCTTAAAGCCTTTTACACATAGTTTTTATATAAAAGTGTGGTCGAGTGGTTCGACTTGTAGCCCGAAAGTTTCGAGTTCGGATCCCGGTATTGCCTCTGTATCACGTCCATGAAAGCAAAAGTGGGAGGGTAAGTGCAGTTGGTCAGTGCTGACTGCTGACAACACTATCTCTTCACCTGCCCCGTGGACCTTTAGGTTCGAAAGGTACATTAACTTTTACTCTTATACTTGAATCAATATAGGCTTAATTCTGTTTACATTGAATAACAATAGACTAAAGATGGCTAGCGAAAATAGATTTTAAAAAAAATAATAATAGTTCTATTACTTCCACGGTTCGTCCTTAAGTGTAAATTAATTTTAAAAAAAATTTCTTTTAATGGTAAAATCGACTTTTTTAATTTTACTTAAAAAAATGTAGATTAAAACTTGTGTGCTCTTTAAAAAAAAAAAGAAAATTGTCGACTTAAGTAAAAATGTTGCGTCCGTCATTTTGGGGACGGCGTGGCTGGAAGGTAGGGTACACGGCTATTAACCCGAAAGTTTCGCGAGTTCGGTTCCTGACTGTAGTACGATGAACTACTTACCATCCTCATTGACTACGTCAAGACAATTCCTGTTATCTCATTTTTGTTCAAGCTACACAAAATAGCCTATAATTCATTTTGCAAAATTATTATTTTTAACTTAACGCCAAAACAATTTCTTGTTTTGTTTTATTTGTAATTATTGGCTTCTTTCTTTTGTTTGTCGCTGTTTATTTCAGATTTAAGTTATTTAACCAAAACATCTGCTATTTAAAGCAAGATAACAACGAAGCAGATTGATATTTTTTTTTCAATATCGCACGAAATTCTCTAGTCCTAAGCAGGAGCGAGGACCAGGCAGAGCAGCCACCGAGAGAGGAGGCGGGACGCGAGATTGTTGCCTTTAATAATGTGGATAAAAATCTGTCACTTCGCATTCCGCGGTTCGCCCTATCAAATTGGAAACCGCGCGCAGACGTTTATCGCGCGTGCGCAGTGCGGAGGCAGAAAGAAAAAAGGGCCGCGCCGGCGTAATGGCAGCAAGCAATCGACCATCGCCTGTGATAAAAACACATCAACCAACCCGGGGTTGATGTGTTTAAAAATCACCCCCCATGCCTGGCATCCTCGGAGGAATATAAACTTCTTTTGTCAGTTTTTGCTTTTTTTTACCTGCAGTATTTATTTATATGAGTCTAATATTATTTGTGTAAATGCGCCGATGCTATCGCCATAGATACCGCCCCCACGCCGGGCGCCATTAAGATTCTTGGCCATCAAATATGCTGATCACGATAGGTGAAATCAAGGAGATTCTACCGACTGAACCCTACCTGCCTCTGGTCAGATGGTGGTGAAGGGTGGATCATCTACTGTGGAAGATGGGTGGATCATCTACTGTGAAAGATGGATGAATCATCCTTAATGTTGGAAGATGGGTAGATCATCCATGATGTTGGAAGATGGGTGGATCATCCCTGATGTGACAATTGTGTGGATCATCTACTGTGGAAGTTGAGTGGATCATCAATGATGTTGGAAGATGGATGGATCATCCCTGATGTGAGAATTGGGTGGATAATCTTCATGTTGAAGTTCAGTGGATCATATCTATCTTTAGTTTGGTAGATCATCCACTGTGCAAAGTGGTTGGATCATTCCTGATTTGAAAGTTTGGTGGATCATACTCTGTGGAAGTGGGGTGGATCATCCATGATGTGAGAGTTGTGTGGATAGTTGAAGCTGAATGGAACATATGCATCTTTAGTTGGGATGATTATCCCCATTTGAAAATGTGGGTGGATAATCCTTATTTTGCAACCGAGTCGTATATTAGAATTAAACCAAGTCATCAATACAGATATTAAATAGCTTTAAAAGTACCGTGTTATATTGTCAGTGTCAGACACTTGGCCATCACAAATTCCAATCAAATCGCATAGTGTAGGCAAGTCATCTCCTTACGTGTCAAGAGTTTTGTCAAACAAGTTAAACTTAAAAGAAACACATTAAATTAATGTCAATATGACGTGTATATAGTTAGGGCCTTCAGACAAGTAAAGATGGAAGGCTCCAAAACGTCATGGTTATACCCCCACACCCCTCACCGTGTAACGATAATGTCTGAACTGAATACCCACATTTAAGAAACAATGGCATACGATTAAAAATAAAACAAAACAACAATAAATATTTTATAAAAAAAAAACGCATTTTTCAAAGTACAAATTTAAAGTTAAAATCCCCAGCTAAACAAAACGTTATCGCCGAATAAACTTCGCACCGCGGACTGAGATTATTCGGGAAAACCCGAACATTTGATACGCCTAACTTGATGTAATTTCTTCATGCCGCTAGGGGGCAGGCTGGTATTTTGTCAGGCTACTTAAGCTCAGTCTTATGTCAGGGCTGAATTCAGCTCAGCGATTGTGACAGGGCTTCGATAAGTTTTTCTACCTAGCCGTTTACATTTTCGTAAACAAATTTGGTTAAAAATAAGTGAAAATGTGTTGTATAAAATAAGTGGATCTTGCGCCTTTTAGCACGAGGTTGATGCAAATGTTTGCTTTGGTGGAAAGAGGAGGCGGTGTAGTGTGGTAGGTGAGGTAGAGTTCATCTGTTACATTAGGCCAAAGGTCATGTAATGATATCACAAGTTATTATCGGGTTCCAGGGTATAAAAATAATTCGCTTTGTTTCGTTTTTCACTCAACCCTTGTCAACTGCCTTTTTTGTTATAATCGGGCAGTTTTGGGGTTAGAGTTAAGACTGCTTATGGATTTGCGTTTGGTTATAGGGATGTAGACATGTAGTGGAGTGGCTCATGGTGGGGCAAATAGTGGTGGAGCATCGTGTGGTGGAGCATCAGGTGGTGGAGCATCATGTGGTGGAGCATCAGGTGGTGGAGCATCAGGTGGAGCACCAGGTGGTGGAGCATCAGGTGGTGGAGCATCAGGTGGAGTATCAGGTGGAGCACCAGGTGGTGGAGCATCAGGTGGAGCACCAGGTGGTGGAGCATCAGGTGGTGGAGCATCAGGTGGTGGAGCATCAGGTGGTGGAGCATCAGGTGGTGGAGCATCAGGGGCTGGAGCATCAGGTGGTGGAGCATAAGGTGGAACATTAAGTGGTGGAGCATCAGGTAGTGGAGCATCAGGTGCTGGAGCATCAGGTGGTGGAGCATCAGGTGGTGGAGCATCAGGTGGTGGAGCATCAGGTGGTGGAGCATCAGGTGGTGGAGCATCAGGTAGTGGAGCATCAGGTAGTGGAGCATCAGGTGGTGGAGCATCAGGTGGTGGAGCATCAGGTGGTGGAGCATCAGGTGGTGGAGCATCAGGTGGTGGAGCATCAGGTAGTGGAGCATCAGGTAGTGGAGCATCAGGTGGTGGAGCATCAGGTGGTGGAGCATCAGGTGGTGGAGCATCAGGTGGTGGAGCATCAGGTGGTGGAGCATCATGTGGTGGAGCATCAGGTGGTGGAGCATCAGGTGGTGGAGCATCAGGTGGTGGAGCATCAGGGGCTGGAGCATCAGGTGGTGGAGCATCAGGTAGTGGAGCATCAGGTGGAGCATCAGGTGGAGCATCAGGTGGTGGAGCATCAGGTGGTGGAGCATCAGGTGGTGGAGCATCAGGTAGTGGAGCATCAGGTGGAGCATCAGGTGGTGGAGCATCAGGTGGTGGAGCATCAGGTGGTGGAGCGTCAGGTGGTGGAGCATCAGGTGGAGCATCAGGTGGTGGAGCATCAGGTGGTGGAGCATCAGGTGGTGGAGCATCATGTGGTGGAGCGTCACGTGCTAACGCAGCATCAGGTAGTGCAGCGTTAGGTGGTGGAGCATCAGGTGGTGGAGCATCAGGGGGTGGAGAAAAAAGTTGTAGAGAGCACCAACAAGTGTAATTAAAGACGAGCTCGACATAGTCCTGACCACATACACACTTCATAAACAGCGATTAGATAAACAGATAAATTCTACTTCCTTTAAAACATTGACCGTCCGTCTAGTGTGAAAAAGTAATTAACTTTTCTTGATCTTGAAAGGGCGGCGGACAATAAGGAAGCGGAAGATGCCTTGGATATCAACACTTACTGTTGGAGTCTGTGAGGATTGGAAGAGTAGGGATTGTACGGATACTGCGTGTTTGTCTTTTAATCTCAATTTTAGAAAAACAAAAATTCTTGGGCGTTTTGATTCATTTAGTTTGACGTTACTGGTTTGATTTTTTTTAAGGTGTGGCATGATTAAACTGTAACACAAACAACATAGTTAACTCCCTTTCAGTGGGCGGGGCCGTTGTCTTCGCCTGACAAAAGAACGGGGTCCAAGTCACTCACAGTATCGAGAATCCCTGATCTGTCAATGTAATCTACAACCCCCCCCCCCCCTCCCCTTACGTACATACACTCACCCGCACATGCACGTGATTCCCAGCCACCGTCGCGCCGAGGGTGAGCAAATACCTCGCCTATTATTCTCACGTCAGGGGGACCACTGGAACACACCAGAATAGAGACACGGAGGAAGAAAGATGGCGGCTTTATCTCCGGCTATCGTCTGTAAACGACATGTTAGCAGGGCGCGCCTTCTTTTTTTCTCCCCTCCCCCCCCCCTTTTTTTTTTTTCTTCCTCCCCTTGTCACATTTTCACAAGAGGCGAGATTTGGGTTTCAGAAACCAATTGATTTCATCCAGATAAAACCAACGGAAATGGAATCTTGAAATTTTCAACTCACAGAAATATCAAAAAAATAGGAAAAAAAGGGGGAGGAAGGGGGGGGGGGGATACGAAAAACTGGAAGACGTATGGTGACGTAGTCAGCATCTTTAGATTTGATCTCTGGCGGTGTAACTGGAGCGCATGCGTATCGTCAGCTCCGCGATAGAAAAACGTCTAGTTATCTCCCCTAGATATCAGCCCGAGTTCCAGCGCATGAAAAAGGGCGAGAAACGATAACACGAAAAAGCTCATTATTCCTCAGATATAAGGGACGATACCCTTCACGTTATGATTTCCACTGGGTGGGACACGTCACGTGGGCTGGATTCTCTCCCCTGCCAATGTGGCAATCGGTTATTTCCGCCTTCGGGGGAGATTTTGCCAAAAGTCGCGAACGGTAGTGTCTTCTGCTTGCGGCGTGGAGGGAAACTTGATAAAATGATTTCAATGAGTTTTTTTTATTTAACTTTCCTTCCGCGAGACGGACTTATCTTTCAGGGTTGCAGCAAATTTCTAATCGTACATTATATTTAGATAAACGTGTCAATGTTTCATTTTTATTGCTCGAGCGAACAAGACCCAAATCCAGCAAACTAGCAGGTTCTGGAACATTCGAGTTGTTGTTTTCATCTGAGATTAACACACCTAGCCTAGACGTTTTAAACCTGAATCGTGAAAATCGGTTGCAGATAATGAAACTATAACAAGCGCAGCAGCAGCTTACCTGTTACAGGAATACTGAATGCATTGTGCTGCACCGATAGACACAATTTTGTAAACATCATCAAAATTTGACAGAAAATAGACCGTTGGTCAGAAAAACTACACTTGGACTGCGGGGGTCATCTGTGATCTGTGACTGAAGTCACGCTTTAACGGTGTTCACCTCTTAACCCCTCGTCACCACACACCACAACAAGCCAGACTAAGTCTGACTAAACAGAGTTTCTTTCAGACATTTTGCTCCAGGTAGGGCGGGGACGACTTGAAAAGTTGAAGGGAGGGTGGGGGCGCTCTTGAATATCCGAGAAGAGGGACGGACACTGGTTAAATAATATATACGAGCCGGCCCGCGGCATAACATACGCCGCTATTTAGTTGTTTATAATTTTCAGTAATTCATAATTTGTGAATTCGACAGTACCAACGCTGACACTGAAAATATTTCTTTAAAACATTATAAGTAGCTCGTAAAGGACCGTAAACCCCCCCCCCCCCCCCCTACGTTTAAAATCGTTGGCTCTGCTTGTAAACATTTAGAGTGAACACAGCTCACTAAAACCATGTAGGGGTGGGGAGGTAGGGAGCGCGTTTACAGCTTGTTTTCTAGGCGCGTTTGCAGCTTGTTTTCTAGCGGCTCCCAGAAGAGAATTATATATATAGATTTTAATTTAAATTTTAAATTATATATTCTTTCTTTTTCGTCCGGGGGAGTGGACTTTTTTCAGGTGGGTGGGGGCAGTGATTCCTCGAAGCGATGCATGAAACTGCTTTTCAAATGACGTCACACTTAAGCATTCCGCCATGCAGTTCCCTCAAAATTCCTTTTTTTAATACAACAACGATTTGATTCTAAAATATTTACTAAGCTGCTAATGTTGAGTACATGTGTGATGATCAATTTTTTTAAAACGAATTTAAAAATAAAATCTAAAAGTTAAATTTAAAAATAAATAAAACCAAAACGCGCATTAACGGCAAAAATTTAGTTTCAAACATTACATTTTAAAAAGCAAAACGTTTGTCGCCACACATTCTGAATCCCAACCTCAGGAGCGTGTCGTCCTTAGTGGATCAGTATTTTAAGTTGCATTGAGGCAAACACAGAAAATAAAAAGAAACTAAAAAAAACTTTATGTTAACATACTCGCAATATGATGAGATTGTTGTCGATGTCCAAGTTTTCAAAGAACGTTTCGACCCAAGGTCTATGCCTGCAACACAACAGTCTATATACGCATAAAAAGATAAAAAATCAAATTAAATAAATATCACAGATACTTAATGTATTAAAATTTCTTTAGAAGACACACCTACAAGCCTTTTGATTTCTGTTGCATACAAAAAGAAATGTACTACAACTGCAAGACTAGATCTATTACAATTTTTTTTAAACGCAAATAATTTTACCTGGGAATATGGTTGTAAAAATAAAAATGTCGATACCTATGTAATGTGATTCAGTTTTTTTTTTCAAAAGCTCTGTTTAAATTGTGCTAAATATGTGACCGGAGACTTGAGCTAATCAAGTGACTTAAGGTTTGAAGTACTGGGCTAATTACCTGTCTCAAGACATTAAAGGCAAGTCAATAACTTGATATATGTAGTACTAAATATGTGACTTAAAAAGATTTTTTTTAAAGAAATTTAGTACTAAATATGTAATTTAAGAACATTTGAATTGTAGTACTAAATATGTGACTAACGAAGATTTTAATTGTAATACAAACTATGTAACTTGCGAAGATTCGTCGACTCAAGAACTAACGTCTCGGAAAGAACATCTACAGTAACAGCTGTTTTTTTTTTATTTAAGTATCACCTTACTCTAATATTTCTACAATATCGAAATAATAGACAGGAGAAAGTGAAAAAAGTACACAATAACAATCAAGAAATAAACATAACTTTTGTTATAACAAAAAAGAAATCGAATCGGTAACATAACGTATATAGCTAACGAGAAGTTACGTTTACTTTCTTATTACAGTGCATTTAAAAGCTTGTTATTATACATTTTTTATACGTGTTTTACTGTTAGATAACTCAAGTAGGTGGGAGCCGATAGCGGAGGCTTTAAATAATTAAACGTTTTCAAATAAAGCTGCAATTTGGGCGATTAATATTTAATGAGCTTGGATTGTCTGGTATTGTGGTTATGCGTCAGCACGTGGTGCGCTGATCGTAATCGTGGTGGTTGTGTCACCACATAGTTCATACAACAGAATCCTAGCTTTACATCATTGTCGTAAAATTGTATGTCGTTACGTATCACCAAATGGTCCACACATCAGAATCCTAGCTTCACATCATTGTCGTAAAATTGTACGTCGTTATGTGTTACCAAACGGTTCATACATCAGAATCCTAGCTTTACAAACTGTCGTAAAATTGTATGTCGTTATGTGTTACCAAAAGGTCCATAAATCAGAATCATAACTTTACATCATTGTCGTAAAATTGTATGTCGTTATGTGTCACCATATGGTCCACACATCAGAATGAAAGCTTAACATCACTGTCGTAAAATTGTGTACGTCGTTATATGTCGGCAAACCGTCCAAACATCAGAATCCTAGCTTTACGCCATGTCGTAAAATTGTGTACGTCGTTATAATTATGTCACCAAATAGTTCACACAAATAAATCTTAGCCTAACATCATTGTCGTAACATTTGACATCTTATATGTCGTAATTGTTAGACATTGTTCACGCAAATGAATCGTATATTAGATTAACATCATTTTCGTACGTAAAATTTTACTTTGTATATGTCGTTATATGCCACCAAATAGTTCACACAAAGTAATTGTAGCTCAACAAAATTGTCGTAAAATTTGACATTATATAAGTCGCTATACGTAACCAAGTCGTTCACACATTAGAGTATTATCGTAAGATTCATTTTGTTTTGTTTTGTATACTCCGGTCACCAAAAAAAAAAAAAAATTGAACAAAATCAGATAACCCGTGACCTAGATCCAGAATGTCTAGCAATGGACGCACACAACTACTTTGTGCCGGAGGAGATAAGTTCCAGTTTGAGTCACGTGACGGACAATAGACTGCTTTCTATGATTGATGCTGTGTCGCCTTGTGATAACGCTAGATACAGACAAGGAGAAATCATGGGGGGGGGGGGGGGGAGAATATTTTTTTAAAAAGTTTAAAAAAGTAAACACATGTTTGATTGTGTGTTTTTAGTCGGAGCTGAAAAAGAAAACTACAACCATACAGCCACAAGCCAGGGAGATGTTTGGTGGGGGGGGGGGGGGGGGGGGAGATCTTTATCGTGAAATATCGAACGTTGGTCGGTGTGACGTGGTACGAAGTCTTATCGGCCTCATCTATTCTGGCTTGGCAGACGATCACTGGGCAGGGCCGCAATCTCGCGGGCTAATCAGCGCTTCGATCTTATCTGGCCCATCGCACCGGCGCCCTCTATCGGTGCCTCATCGCTGGCGTGTTTTCAAAATGGTGGATTGGATTCGCTAGTGGCTCGCGTT